TCAATACAAGTCACTTTCTTTAGTACCACAGAGTTGGAGTCTAAGCCTCCTTCACATTTTCTTGTTCTTTTTTGGGCATTGGTTGTTAAACACAGCATTGTGGCCACCACTGCTTTTTGTAGTCCTGCTTCTAATCTTGACTCCTTTAGCCCATTTAAGATGAATGGTATAATTTTAAAGCATATAAAAGAATATTGGGGATTTTTTGTTTGCATTTCTGATTTGGTTATACTTGTGTCTCATTTTTTTTCTTTACTTGAAGAAAAAATATTCCTGAAATTAATCAGCTCCTTTAAGAAGCCAACATGTTGTAGGTACCTAAGTGTGGGACCCAAGACTAGGTTACATTAATCCCTGCTGGCTTTAAAATTTGTGTGATCTTCTTCAAAAAGTTTGGCAGGTTTTTTTTTTTGTGTGTGTGTGGGGTAATTGAAACATGATTATATTCTCACTGTAAAAATTTAAATATTATAGAAAAATTTGATGTAAAAACGTGGAAGTCTTTCAACAATCCCTAATTTTCAAATTGAATTCCTTTCCCTAAGCGGACCACTCTGTGAGCTGTGAACCTTCCAAAACATTACCTGTGGATTTATGCACACATGTATGTGCATATGCCAATTACAGGGTTTTACATACGGTAAATCATCATGTACATACTCAGTAGCTTTTTTCACATAGCAGTTTGTTTTGGAGATCTTCCCATGTGAGTTCCCTAATGGTGGACATTTAGGTTGTTTCTAATTATTTGCTCTTACAAACAGTGCTATAATTAACATCCTTGTAAATGTCTCTTTGTGCATATGGGCAAGCATTTCTTTAGGGTAGCTATCTATGGTTTGGCAATTTCTACTGTCTTTAATTGCATTGCCTGGTATCTGGCAGACGATCTTCTGCATGTACAATAACTTTTCATGTCCGTGCTCCATTATAGTGTAAGTTTTAGAAAGATGTTTTAGGCAACAATTAGGAATCTAAGTTTAAGTTCAAATTCTGTATGGATTGCTGTGGTCAGCTGAGGTGACACTTGAATGAATGGATAGCTCTGCACGTGGCTAAGTTCACACATGTACAGGCAATTGTGTTGAGTAGCAGGTAAGGTTCCTTTTCTGCTGACTTTCATTGTAAGGCACATCATGATTTTTTAAAACATTAAGATCTGAGAAAGTGCATCGTAGAATTGAGGAGTTACGGTAGTTTATTTTCCCCAAATCAGTAGCCTATTGCTACGCGTCCATGTTTAAATGGTCCTTTCCCTGTGAGTTGATACAATGACTTTTCCACCAATTAATTTCCCCAACAGGTGGGTGTGTTGCAGGACTAGGGTACTGCATGGATCTGCTTGTCTATTCCTGCCCTAGTTCAGGGGCAGGCTCCCCTGTGATCTTCTTTTGGAAAACTTTCTTGCACATTTGTCTTTCCATCTACTGCTCTTTCTTCTTCCCCACACTGCCCCTTTTACACTGGGTGCTTCATTAGCTTTTCACAATCTGCATGATTTTGCATCGCAATGGGTCGGATGTGAGAACATCTGCAGCAGGCAAGAGCAAATTTTCCTCAGGACTTAACACTGAGCTTGCCATCATCAAGAAGTCATGCCTTTCTCTCTCCTTCTCTTTCTCTCTCATTCCTTGGCATCTCCCACATTGCTGCTCAAACATCAGTTATGCCTGAGTCTTGAGTGATGTCAATCTGAGTTGAAAATATGCCAGCTTTCTTAACATCACTAACAGGCTGCTTAATTAACCTGCTGATACCATCAATAATAGATCTTGCTGGTGTGTTGGAGAGGAGACCCATAGCCCAGGGTTGTGCGTGCTCTCGTTCTCTCTCTCCTCTCGTTCTCTCTCTCTCTGTCTCTCTCTCTCTCTGTCTCTCTGTTTCTTTCTCTCTCTGTATCATTTGCTTAGGCTCTCAGTGTCCCTGTCACAAGAGCTGGACTTGCTAGGAGTGGGATGGGAGGGATCTGGGACAGTTTGAAAAGGATATGGCAGAATTGAAAGTTCCGGATGAGCTCATGGAAATGAAATCAATGTGACAGGCTGGCATTCCCATTGCTGAAGGGCAGGGATGGCTGGTAGCCTGTGCATATGGCAGGTGCTCAATAAATGGCTAACCAGTGTACACAGTCAACAGAATTGCTTGCAGGTCATGTGCCATCTATGGAGGCAGTAAGAACTGGCTGTTTCAAGGGAGGAGCCTGGGGAGTACCATCATCCTGAGATGGCTTTTAGGGTTTTCTTTGTCTTTTTTTCCATCCAGGCAGCTTCAGAGGTGTCCTGGAGGGGCTGGATTAGGGGAGGGAGCCTGGGTTTTCACTTCCTTTTATGCTTCATCTTTCTTCTCAGTGGTTTTGTGTTTGAACCAAAGCTGCCCTGCTTGCCCCATGTTTTACCTTTGGGGATTATGGGGAGGGAGGGAGATGCTGCCATGAACCAGGGCTGGTCCACCACCACCTCCAGATCCACATTCTCTTCTCTTTGTCCCCGCTATGCATACACACCCAAAATGGGGGCTAGAGGCATTTCAGCTATCCCCAGCTTCCCCTGACCTGGGCATGGGCACAGATGCAGAGACTGACATTTTGTGTGAGCTCAGCCAGCACCCAGAAATCCCATGGAGACCCTAAATGCTGCCCTTTATTTTATCCTGAGAGAAGCCGAGGTGGGATTGGGGTGGCAATGGCTCAAGTTCCCAGAGTGAGCTGGTAGCTCCCGACCTTAGCAGGTTGCTTGTCTCCTGGACCACATCCCTGTAACTTTGCCTTTCCTGGAATGGTGGTGGTGGTGGTGATATGGTGGACAGGGTCCTCAGAGGGCAGGGATTGATGCCTTTCAGGGCAGAAATCCCCACTATCCTCTTCAACAATTTTCTTAGATCTCCTGGGAACCAAGAGCCTGACAGCCCCAAGGGCATGGGGGATGCATAGCCTCCCTACGGCCACTAGAGGGTGTGTCACTAACACAGGCCAGGTGGCCGCTTCCCAAGGCCACCCAGAGGGGCCCTTCTGGGCCCTGAGCCCTGGGTGCCTGGGGCTGAGAGGGGAGAGATACAGAGCCAGAATTGGAACCCAAGCCTGATGGCGCCAAACCCAGGCTCCCAACCCCTCTCTGTCCTGCCCTGCTGACCGGATCTCCTTTACCTTGGATTCAGCTTCCTAATTCTGTCCCTCACTGCCTGTGGTAAAAACGAGGGTTTCTCAATGTCAGCACCATTAACATTTGGGGGCCAGATGATTCTTTAGTGAGGAGACTGTCCTGTGCCTTGTGGAATGTTTAGCAGCATCCCTGGCCTCTGCCCACCAGATGCCTGCAGCAACCCCCAGCCCCCAGATTGCAATCACTGAAAATGCCCTCAGATGTGGCCAAATGCCCCGCAAATCCGTCCCTGGTGGAGAACAGCTATTTAGAGCAGGTGAGCATGCCTGTTGTCGGGCAGGAAACCCTGGGCCACAGAGGGACTGCCCATGGTTCCTGCTGCACTGAACGTTGGTGGAAGCAGGAGTGATGCTCAAAGATGGCGTGTGTGCTGTAAATACATTTTAGAACTGTATTTGGCGTCCCGCTTTTCTTCTGCAAAGACTGCAGAGCCTCTCGGTCTTGCCCTGTTTATTCCACCTCTCCATTTTAATGAAACAGGCGACTGAGGCCCCCAGGGTCTCAAGCCACACCTCACCCACAGAACCTTGTCCCCCAGCTGTGAGCACCCTGGACCGCTTGTTGGCTCGGGCCCCAGGAGCATCTGTGGTCTCCCTCCCACTCCGCCTGCCCACTAGGCCCCGCCACCCTCCAGCTCCCCAAACCCTGGTGCCTCCCCCCACTGGAGGGAGGGGGAAGCAGCAGGTGTTGATGCTAATCAGCGTTCACAGCCCAGAACTGCAGTCGCTCCCAGGCTCACACACTCCCCAAAATTAAACACTCATTATACAAAATTAATTGACATTAATTAGCAAAAATTAAAACTTTAAACACAGCAAGGCGCTTTGGGGGGAGGAGTGAGGCAGGCAGGCTCCGAATTTGTCACCCCCCACTCCGCACCTGCCCACCCCTTCCAGGTTCCCCCACTTCCATCCTGAAGCAAGGCTGGGAGAGTTCAGGCAGGGTCAACACCCACACTGCACCGGGCCACAGAGCCTGCCCAGTCATGTGAGTCCCAGGCTAGGGGAGCCGAAGGAGGCTCCCTGAGCTAGTCGCTAGCTGATGGGTGGCCCTAGACTTCAGCAACCAGTACTTCACTACGGAACCAGGAATCCTCCCCTTAGCCCAGGTCCCCAAGATCTCAAGAGGGCAGAGGGGCCTAGCCAAAGGCAGGAACTCAACCATAGGAAGCAAGAATGGAGAAGGTCTTCCTTTAACTCAGCCCACTGCCCCCACCCTAAGCCTCCTGCCCCATGGGTATTCAGGAGACATAGGTACTGTAGCCTTTCTGCTCTGTCTCACTCTGCTGTGTGACCTCAGATAAGTCACTCCTCTTCTCTGAGCCTCAGTGTTCCATCCATATGATGAGGGGGTGGTGCTGGGTGAACACTGAGGTTTCTGCCTCTCTGGCACCTGCTGTCAGGGTAGGCAAATTTCTGGGAACCTGATTCACTCAGAGACAGAGGGTGCTGAATGTGGGATGGGTAATTCAAGAGGATGGGGCAGCCTAGGGGCCCCAGTGACAGTGGAACACCAGGCCTGGATCCGTGAGGAATGCGGTTTCAGGCCAGAGAGCCCTCCCAGGTGGACACCCACTTGGCCTGCCTAGGGGGCCTGCTCCAGAGGAGAGGAAAGCAGCCCCTGGATAAGTGGCCGCTCCCTAAGCCCAGGTTCCCAAGGGCTCCCAGATCCCTTGCCAGGCTAAAAGGCAGATGGACAACAGAACCACCCCTTCCCCAACCTTTGCCCATGCATTTGAATGCAGAACCCTGTGGCTTGGGTAGGGAGGAGCACAGTGACCTCCCTCCAAGTGGAATGCTATCCCCCTCCTCATCCTGCTCTCTGCACCCCCTCTCTCTACAGCCAGTGCCAATATCTGCAATGTGGTCCTGATGCGGTACGGGGAGCTGGAGGAAGGGATTGATGTCCTGGACAGCGATGGCAACCTCGTGGGCTCCTCCAAGATCGCAGCCAGACACGTGGGTCTGGGGGCTTGCAGCGTTGGGGAGGCCAGCAACAGGGAGGGGAATGGTTTTCCCTTAGCATGTGTCTGCCACAGGCTTCTCTCCAGAGTACCCTGGTTTTCGCCTTTTGTTGTCTCCTCCTCACCCTGCCCCCACCTCCAGCCTGCATGAGTTCAGGCCTCTGGCCTCCAGCCTGTTCCCCTGGACATGCCCTCACTGCTGTGAAAAGTCTCTATCTCTTGTCCCAGCCCCTCAGGACTCAGCTTCTTGCTTGTCTCACCCAGAGGAGGTGTTAATTGGTGAGGGCAGAGGAGACTCTCCCAGAGCTCTCTTCCCTCTCCCTCTGCCCAGGGCCCTGCCTCCTCTTGGGTAAGCCAAGGAAGCCCAGGGGGCCACTGGCTTATGGTTCTGGGTTAATAGGCACTTCTGCAGGTGAGAGCTCACCGGGGAGCGAATACCATGAGGTCCAGGGACTTGAAGCTTGCAGAGGTTTAGAGAATATTTTGTTACAAGGCCCTCTTTCATCCCTGGTTACATAGGCTCCACCACTCTAGCAATTGCAGTTTAAAAAATGAAAGCACAGGCCAGGCATGGTGGCTCACGCCTGTAATCAGCAGTTTGGGAGGCCAAGGGGGGTGGTCACCTGAGGTCAGGAGTTTGAGACCAGCTTGGCCAACATTGCGAAATCCCATCTCTACTAAAAATACAAAAATTAGCCAGGTATGGTGGTGGGTGCCTATAATCCCAGCTACTAGAGAAGCAAAGGCAGGAGAATTGCTTGAACCAGGAGGACAGAGGTTACATTGAGCCAGGATTGCGCCACTGCACTCCAGCCTGGGCGAAAGAATGAAACTTCGTTTCAAAAAAAAAAAAAGAAAATGCAGCCCATGTGTACATCCCCCTCTCATTTCTCAGCCTTTGTCCAAATGATGGTTAGTGGCTTGTCCTGCTGCCCTGGGCTCTGCCCTATGTGCTCTGCATGGGATACGATGGGGGCTGGGGGAGAGCCATTAAGTAGCCGAGCATGCACGCCTGCTCTAGCCACTGTCCTCATCAGCTCCCATGAGGGCCCCCAAGCCCTACCCCAGTCATGAGGCCTTCTTATTCAGACTTTGATCTGGGAAGAGCTCTGTCCAAGTCAGTGCCCCTCCAGGATTTTTAGGGCAAGGGGCTGGGGGTGTCGTGCCCACACTGCATCCTCTGCTGCCTGCACTGGCACGGGACCCTTGTGTCATTCCCACACCTGTTCCAGAGACTGGAGGGGCCTCTCCCAGGCCTTCCTGAGGCTGACCATAAAGAGCCTAGGTTCCTGGGAGTGATGTTCAGCCCTGAGCTCATCAGCAGAGGGGATTTAGTCTCAGTTTCCTACCTTCCTATCCTAGCCCTGTTCTTTTCCCCAGCCCCCATGAGGGAGGACAGCCATGATAACTCCTCTCAGTGTCATACAACAAGGAAACCCAAGCGGTCTGGGCTTTCTTCAGCCTGGCTTGCTTAGTTCTTTGCTGTCTGGGGACGGACTCCAGGCATCTGTGGGCTGTGAGCTGTTCCCTGGAGCCTCCTCTGAGGACTGGCACTCCTGGGGCTAAAGGAACTCACCACAATGGCTGTTGGAGCTCAGAATCGACACTGAGCTGTGCTCTGGCCAGGGACACCACCCCCTTCCCTCCCCAGGAATCCCTGGAGCAAGGCACCAGGCAGACCCCCAGGGAAAACCTGCAGACACCCAACTGAAGAGTGCCTCCCTTATAGATCCCACCTCTTGTCACTGAGAAACTCATCCATAGCCAAAAGACACAAGATCTTGCAAATCTTTAAGATACGTTTAAAAATAAATAAATATGAGGCTCACGCCTATAATCCCAGGACTTTGGGAGGCCGAGGTGGGCAGATCACCTGAGGTCAGGAGTTCGAGACCAGCCTGGCCAACATGGTGAAACCCCATCTTTACTAAAAATACAACAATTAGCTGGGTGTGGTGGCTCATGCCTATAATCCCAGCTACTGGGGAGGCTGAGGCAGGAGAATCCCTTGAACCTGGGAGGCAGAGGCTACAGTGAGCCAAGACCACGCCACTGTACTCCAGCCTGGGTGACAGAGCGAGACTCCATCTCAACAATGACAACAAAAAGTAAATTCCAGAAGCTCGGTCCTCCTCTGGCTCCATGAGCCCCAGTGGCTCAACAGGCCCCCCAGCTTCTGTGTCTGCCTTGCTTTTAGAGCTGCTTCCCAGTCCCCTTGTGCACTGAGCATGGGAGGCTGCACCCGCCACCCCCAGGGTGCTCAACCATCTCCCTGAGCACTGTGCATTCCTGGGGCTGCCAGGGTGTCTCCCACATGTGGCAAGTGATGAGAATCTGCTCTTCTCAAATGTGTGTGGTAAGACCAGTGAAGCCTGGACACAGTGGCTCACGCATGTAACCCCAACACTGGGATGCTGAGGTGGGCGGATCACCTGAGGTCAGAAGTTCTAGATCAGCCTGACCAACATGGTGAAACCCCATCCCATCCCTACTAAAATACAAAAATTAGCCAGGAATGGTGGTATGCACCTGCAATCCCAGCTACTCAGGAGGCTGAGACAGGAGAATCACTTGAACCTGGGAGGCGGAGGTTGTAGTGAGCTGAGATCGTGCCGCTGCACCCCAGCCTGGGGGCCAGAGCAAGACTGCCTCAGAAAAGAAGAAAGAAGGCCAGTGGCTTTTTTTGATGTTTGGAATGTGGCTTCCTGAGCAATCCCATGAATAATGCCATTCAGCCAAATGTGCATTGTGGTGGCACACACCTAGGGCTCCACGTGGGTGTGCTGTCCCATTACTGGCCATCAGGCCCCTCTCACCACAGCCTCTGCCTGCCCCTCAGGCCCTGCTGGAGACGGCGCTGACGCGAGTGGTCCTGCCCATGCCCATCCTGGTGCTACCCCCGATCATCATGTCCATGCTGGAGAAGTGAGTTGGAGCAGCCAGGATGGAGGGGCCACCATGGGGGAGGAGAGGGAGAGGGAGAGAGAACCAGCTGGCCCAGGCAAGGGATGAGGGGGCAGCAGGAAGCCCGCCTCAGTTTGTATAGAGGGTGGAAGGTGTCTTGCTGTGTCTTGGACTCTCCAGGTGGTGCCACGGAATCACTCTGAGAATTCCTGGACTTTTACTATTCAGGACCCTGGGCTAAGTGCCACAAGGGGTACCAGGATGACAGTGCTGGCCAACCCCTGAGGAGCTGGTGGTTCGGGGGTTTGTGTGTGTGCACGTGTGCTCACATGCTCTCAGTGAATAGTACAGGACCATTTATGAAGGCAGAGGCTGAGGATTCAGGGAGGAAGACTAGATTCAGGTAGGTATCTGCTATGGGGCAAATCACCACCTTACTGAGCCTCAGTTTTTCTGCTTGCAAAATATAAATAGTAATAGCCTCCTGCCTCCCTCAGAAGGATGTTCTAAGCACTCATATCTGTCATGACTGTAAAGAAATGAGGTAGCATAATAATAGTAATGGAGTGAGTAGTAATTAATGAGTGCTAAACTGAAGGGGTGGGCTGAAATGCTGCTGGAGGAAAGGCTGCGTGGAGAGGGCAGGCCCTGGGAGAAGGCAAGTGGAGGGTCCTAGGTGGAGGGGGCCTGAAGGCACAGACCCCTGGCTGGTCAGGTGACAGCAAGGAGACCCTACCCCATGGGGACACCTCAAGATAGCAACCGGAATTGGGTGTGTGTGGGATAAGGATAGGGATGGGGGTATTCCATCTGGGGTTCTGGGGCAAGGGATTCTTCCCTGTTTGGGGGCTTTCTTATTGCCACAATATGAATTATAATAACAACTGACATTTATTAAGCACTTACATATCCCAGTCCTCTCTCAGTCAGGTTTCTGCCCGAATGCCACCTCCTCAAAGAGGTCCTCCCTGACTACCCCATCAGAAGTCACCATTTCTCATTACTACCTCTCCCTTGCAATCCTTTATTTTTCTTACGGCCCTTATCCATATCTGAGATTGTTCCTCTAGTTGCATATTCTCTGTCTGCTCTACTAGAATGTCATCTCCATGAGGCACGTCCATCCTTTTGTTCACTGCCCTGCCCAGCATCTAGCACAGTTCCTGGCATACAGTAGATGCTCAGTAAGCATCTATGAGTGAGTGAATGAATTCTCTCATTTCACCTTCAGGACAGCACAATAAGGTAAGTATAATATCCTCATTCTACAGATGAGGAGAGGAAGGCAAAGACAGGCTGTATCATCCGCTTATGGTCATCTGCTAGGAAATAGCAGAGCCAGCAGTGGCTCAGGAATATGGCTGCAAAGCTTGGTCTCTTCAAGCCACACTGGCTGCCTCTTGCATCTTCAGGTCACACTATGCAATCAGCGTGTGTTTGAGTCCTGCCCTCCATGGAAATGGGAGGAGTAGATTTGGGGTCTGATCTCAGGAAGCCTATGTTTTTATAAGGGTGATGGGCAAGACCTGTACACAGGTCAGCTGCAGGTGACAGCGGGCAGTGAGTAAACTCAGCCAAGGTGACCTTGAGAAGAGGAAGCACTGTGGGCCCAGCAGTAAGGAGGGCTGGTCCCCAGAGAGCAGATAGGATTTTTGTGGAAGGGCGGGCTTTTTGGGCAGGGTGTAGGCCTGTAGCATGGACACTGAGGTGTCCAGTCTGGCTAAAGGGAAGTGCACTCATGGGGCCAGCTGATCAGGGGTCCTGTGTGCCCAGCTGAGATGATCCCTCTCTCACCCTAGAAGAGGGCGGAGCCTCTGGGGATACCTGAGCATGGGCATGGCCTGGTGAGCACTGGGATTAAGAAAATTCCTGTGGTATGGAAGTTTGCAGCAGACAAAAACAGGTAGTCTCTTTTGTGCCCCTGACTCTCGTATATGTAGCCCCTTCGTGAACTGAGGTCCCTGAATACCAGTGACTGCACGTATGCACTGGGAGCCAGCGGGGCAGGTGAGGAAGGTAGTTCTGTCCTTGAGACTGCTGAATCCTGAACCTTGGAATTCTGGAGCAGGTTCAGTGAGCACTGCTCACTCTGTTACTTGCACCACAAGTCCAGTGAGGTAGGACACTCACACAAGTCAAGCGCAGCAGCTTGATTCCTCACAGATAGGCTTCAGGGACAATGGGCACCTAAGATTTATGGCACGCTGGTGCCCCATGGCTTGAGAAAGCTGCCCAGGGAGGATGGAGTCTCTTCCACCCACGTACCACATCACACTGCAACTGAGGGAGCCTGGAAGCACTCCACCCTGGGATTTGCACACGGGGGGACATTGGCTTGCTGTGCTAAAGTGTTGCAGGACATCCTGTTCCAGAAGAGGTGGGAACGTGAGCCCAGGCTGTCCCAGACAGGCCCTCCTTATCTCAAGATGCTGTATTCCCAGCACATCTACAGCTATCCTAAGAACGACAAGAAGGCGGGGGGCGGGGTGTGAAGCTGGGTCAGCCACGCTCATCCAGGGACCTGTCCTTCTGCAAGAATTTGCTGGGGAAAAACATGCTCTGCGATGCCTCTCCAGTTGGCAGAGATGTTTGCAGAAAGTGGAATGATAGTTAGTGTCCCATTAGCTTGGGGGCTTGAACTTGGCTTTGGGGGTCATGGTGAAACAGGAGAAGTTTTCTTCTCTTCCCTCAAAGGGAGTATGATGGGGGTATGGCTTGCTTCTTCAGTGCCCCGCCGCTCAAACCTCTAGGGGAGCATACAGAGGGGCAGGTGGTGGGGGCAGCCACCCCCACAGCAGTGTCCAGGGGTGAGTGTTTACAGCTGAAGACCCAGTGGGCGTGTGTTACAGGGTGATTTTTTAGTTTAGCCATTCATAGGCAGCTTATGTTAGCTCAGTTAGACTCCTCCCTTATCGCAAAGACAGAGGGCTTTCTTTATCCTGGGGTTCTTCCCTTGGTGTCCCGGAAGAATTGGATCACACGTGGGCTTGGAGAATGAGTGTGAGGTTTCATTGAGTGGAAGTAGCTCTCAGCAGACAGGGGAGCCAGAAGGGAGATTGGTTTTCCCCTGGAGTCAGGCTGCTCAGCGCTCTCCTCCCTATTGCCCCAGCCAACCTCCGCATTGTTCTGCTAGTCGGTGGCCGGCATCTGTCAGTGTGCTCTTCTGCCAGCGTGCTCCCCTCGATGTCCTCTCAACATCCAGTCACTTGTGTGTTTCTCCACTGATGTGCTCTTCTGGATGTCCACCTGCCTGTGTGTCTGCCTGCTAGGGTCTTGGGATGTGAGAGTATGTTATTTTTATTTTTGTTGTTTTTATTTTTATTTTTTTTGAGACGGAGTTTCACTTTTTCTTGCCCAGGCTGGAGTGCAGTGGTGTGATCTTGGTTCACCGAAACCTCCGTCCCCTGGGTTCAAGTGATTCTCCTGTCTCAGCCTCCTGAGTAGCTGAGACTACAGGCTTGTGCCACCATGCCTGGCTAATTTTTGTATTTTTAGTAGAGACGGGGTTTCACCGTCTTGGCTAGGCTGGTCTCGAACTCCTGACCTCAGGTGATCCACCTGCCTTGGCCTCCCAAAGTGCTGGGATTACAGGCATTAGCCACTGCACCTGGCCAGGTCTCAGGGTTTTTTTAGGCACAGGATCGGGGTGTGGCAGGCTAGGGTGGTCTTGGGAAATGCAATCTTTGTGCAGGAAAACAAAAAATGCCTGTCCCCACTTAGGTCCCTGGACCCCTGGGCACAGGCATGGGGGTGGAGCCCTAGCCAGGGACCACACTCTTCCCTTCCCCACTTCCCTATCATTTAAAGGGACCATGCCCTTCCCTTCCAGCACTTCCCTTCCCCACTTCCATATCAATGGGAAGTAGGGTGATGATTCTGGGTCTGAACCTCCCCAGCCTGGGACCTGTCTAGTGTCTGGGGTGCCACATACTCTCACATCTCAGGCTCCAAAGGAGCCCCTGTGATAAGGTGAAGAGAGGTCAGAGTTTGGTGTTCTTGGCAGCCTCGTGTTTCATTGGTCCTTCCCTGGAGTTCCTTGGAGGATCCCTGGGAAAAGAGCTCAGCCCAGCTTCCCCCAAGAATATGAAGATGAATAAGACCCAGTTTGTGCCCTCAAAGGCTTGCTAATCTCACATGTACTCTGGAAGTGCAGGACTGTGTGGTAGGAGAGGCAGGGCAATGCAGCAGAGCGATCTGAGGCTCTGGTAAGAAAATAAAATCTAGATTCCTTCTCCACCTCTTTCTGCCAGTCTAATGTGGTTGTGGAGCCTCTCTCAGCCTCAGTTTCCCACCTGGAAAATGTGGACACTGCCCCTTCACCACCTTGTTCGTTGGGGCTTAGCATTTTGCACCACCCAGCAGTTCTTTGGCTCTTTGTTGGGGGCCTGCCACGCACCCCATAGCCTTTGGGTGCAGGGGCACTAGTGCAGGGCCTCCGCTGAGGAGGCTGATGAGGAAGGCAGCCCCCATTCTTTTGGGGAGCCCCTGTTGGGTGAGGGAGTCAGGGCAGCCAGGGAAGAAAAGACAAAAGAACACTTACAAAGCAGCCTATGTGCAAATTAATGGAGTGCAAACTAAAACTGCGCTCCAAGTGCTGAAGGAATGCACAGCAATGGTGGGGACAAGCTGTTGTGTGGGGCCAGGGGCTGGGACCTGCGTTGCTTCGCCTCAGGCATCAGTTGATACTCTCAGAGCCAAGGTCTCTGGGCTTCCTGCTGGGAAGAGAAAGGTGGGAGCTCTGCGTGCTCAGTTGGCCTTGACTCTGAGACTGAAAGGAGAAGAATCTCAAGTCAGAAGCAGAGGAGCTTCCATCCCCAGCCCAGAGCACTGGGCTGCCTCTGGAGCTGCGGTCCACTGAGCGCCATCCCTCCCTCTCCACCACCCTCCAGCTCCCCTGAGTGTTCCAGGGGTTCACACTGCAGTACCAACCTTGTTGGGGAGGAAGCTAGTTTTAGATCCAGGGCTGGGATCACAGGTTCCTGTGCTGGATCAGGAGGGCTCTAGCTGGCTCAGACCCAGCCCAGCCTCCCAGTCCCTGGAATGAAGGGGGCCAACAGAGGCACCAGGCTGGTCTGAGTTGGCTCTGGGCCCAGGCCACAGCCCTGAGTCCGCTCCCCCAGCTTCCTTTACTTCCTGGGCTCCGGGTCTTTCCTTTCTCCCAAGCATTCGCACATCTCTCCATCTGCATATTTTAACTCCCCCAGCTGCTTTTCCATCCCTCCTTGCCATTTTCCTCCCCCCTCCTCTCCCCCTGTCCTGCTGTGTTCACTCTCTGGCCTGCTCTGGGCTGGGGCTTCAGAGGCTCCTGTTTCAACCTCAGGCCTGCCTCCTTCCTGAGCTGGGAGCCCAGGCCTGGGGCTTCCTGGACCCCTTTCTCAGTGAAGACTTCAGCCAGCCACCCTGAGAAAGGAGCCTTGGTCACAGCCCCGCAGGAAGGGGTCTATCCAGTGTCCCCACCAGCAGGTCCCAAGGACTGAGCCCATGGCCTGCTGTTCACCTGCAGTGGAGGAGCTTCTCTCTTTTTCTCACCCTTCCCTGCTCTCAGGGCTGTGAGCAGGGACCGTTGGAGCTGTGCTTCCAGAGACTCAACACCCTTCTAGTCACTGCCACTGGAACAGGAGGGCAGCCCCATCCTTCCACAGCCTCCTCCAAGCAGGGCTCTGGGCCCTGTATGAAGCTTGGAGAATGAGCTTTGTGTCCCCCTCTCCTCCTTGTCTTGCTTGAGAAGTTCATCTCAGGCCCCTCTCAGCCTTATTCCTAGCCCCTCCGTGACCCCTAAGGAAGCCCAGGCTGGTGTGGGCTAGCATGGAGGAGAGAGAGGATGGGGGTGCTAGCTGTGGGTTAGGGGATCAGAGGGATTTGAGCTTGATTTAGGTACCTTGGTCCTGCTGCTCAATCCTGTGGAAACTCCCCTTTCCAATTGCTTAATTCAGGCCAAATTTAGCAGCTGGACAAACCTCGGGGTCTGGGCCAGTGGGAAGGGCTGCAGGACAGTTGGGCTACCAGGATCCTACTATCCTGCAGGTAGCATGAGCAATAGCAACAGCAAATAATGACACGCAGTCTCTGAGCACTTACTGCATGTCAGACCAGGACTCACCCTTTTGCTTGCATAGTATTTGCAAGTAATGGGATCTTTCTTTATTTTCTGAGGCAGAGTCTTGCTCTGTCACCCAAGCTGGAGTGCAGTGGCGTGATCTTGGCTCACCGAAACCTCGGTTTCCCAGATTCAAGAGATTGTCCTGCCTCAGCCTCCCGAGTAGCTGAGACTATAGGCGTGTGCTACCACACCAGGCTAATTTTTGTATTTTCAGTAGAAGCGAGGTTTCACCACAATGGCCAGGCTGGTCTTGAACTTCTGACCTCAGGTGATCCGCCCACCTTGGCCTCCCAAAATGCCAGGATTACAGATGGGATCTTTATTTTAAATACCTGAGCAGGAACATCCAGGGGCAGTGTTTGTCAGAAGTGTGATCTGGGATCACCATTTTAGACTCACGAAGGGTTGATTAAAATGCACATTTCTAGGTCCAGTGCCCATTAAATCCGGATTTCTTGGTTGTAAGCAGCCCCTGGGAGTTTGCATGTTTAACTAGCTGCCCAGCCCATCTGATACACTTTAACTTTTGAAAAATACTCCCAATTTTGTTGCCTTCTCAGGCCCAAGTGCTGTTGGGATTCTTGTCTCAAGAGGTCAAGGTATATGGGGTTTACTGCCCTCCCACACTGGGGCTCTGCCCTTAGGAGGGCCCCTTACCTGCCTGTGGCCATGGTTAGCCCTGCTAGGGGTGGCAGACAAGAGCCTGGATTATTTCCCCTTCACACCAGGAGCCTGTCACTTTAGGCTACCAGTTACTGAGGTCAGATTTAGTGCGTGCCGAACATCCCCCGGTACATAGCCTAGTCATCCCTCCCCAAGTGGAATGCTGCGGTCCCCAATGAAGGGCCTGCTGTATTAGGCAAAACGGTAAGCTCCAAGGAACATGGTACAGGCACATTGGCCAGTTGGTATGTCCCCACACTGTCTGGGGATCCTGGGCCCTGGAGGGAGGTTTATCATGCCCCCTCTCCTGCCCAGGAAACCAGCTCTGAAGCCAGCCATAGGGAGAGGGTGCCAGCTGTGTCGTGTTGGTGATGAAGCTGGCAAAGGAGACCAGCTGGGGTGACAGCACCCTCAAGGAGTCAGGCGTCTAGGCAGCAGCTCTGCTGGCCTTTTGCAGACTCGGCCTTGGATGAGTCACTGCTCCCTCTGTGGTCCTGGGATTGAAATGGATGAGGTGGCCAGTGGGTATCTTCGGTTCTTACACACAGAGGAGAATCACCTCTCTCCTGGCTGGCATGTGCCCACATGTATGTGCTTTGTCATCTCCCCTGAACTTCGGACCTAATTTTGTTGGTTGGTTGTTTAATTACGTGCGCCTCAAGAGCGATCTGAGGTTCCTATGCCTCTCCTTAGGAACAGGGGCTGACAGCCTCTTCCAGCGTCTCTCCCTCATGAGACCTTCTTGGCATGGAGCTGGATGCATGGTGGGCGGGTGCCCCGAAAGTGCTCATTCGTGACCTGAGTAGTTGAGAGTTCAGCCAGCCATGCCATTCAAGGCAGGGCCTTGGGATAGGAGTGCCCATTGGGAAAGGCCCCAAAAACCTAACTCTGCTATGTCTATTTAGCTGCACACTGGCACTGCTCCCAGAACCACGCTTCCTGGGCCCTGAGACAGAGTGGGACCCAGCATGGTGGCTGGCAGCTGGCCCACCCCACCTTAGGGTCTCATGGGGCTCCCTCCTCTCTCCCCCACAGGACGGCTCTCCTGCAGGCGCGCCCCAGACTGCTCCTCCCCGTGCAAAGCCTTGTGTGCCTGGCAGCCTTCGGCCTGGCCCTGCCGCTGGCCATCAGCCTCTTCCCGCAGATGTCAGAGGTCAGTGGGGAGGGGCTCAAGGGCAGGGCAGGGAACACCGTTTGGTGATTTCTGAACGAATACTCATATCATGCTGGCTCCTTAGCACTGCTAGGTGCTGGGGCTGGAATTGTGCATGAGGCTGGCCCAGGCTCTGCCCCTCAGAGTGAGGGTCGCAGTTAACACGGTGATTAAACAGAGGCCAGCAGATGAGGAGCCGGGAGTGTTAGGGTGAGAGAAGCTCCAGTGGGTGTGGAAGGAGATAGCAGACCAAACCGAGCCTAGAGGGAAGTGGCATTTCACTGGGACTGGGAGTGTGGCTGGAGTTGGCCAGATGAAAAGGGATGGGAGAGGAGATAAGAGGTTGGCGGACACCTGGTGTGAAGGTTCTGAGGGGAGGAAGCACATGCCATGTCCAAGAGCTGACCAGTCTGCGGCACGACCAGGGAGTGCCGCAAGGTGATGTGGCCTACGAATGAGGGGCTGAGGCTGGGTGGTGTCAGGAACTTGGAAGCCAAAACAGAGAGGGTGAATATCCTCCTAAGGACTATTCAAGGCAGACCACAGATTCCTGATTCTGAGCGGCCCCTGTGCTGCTGCATGGGGCTGGGTTGGAGCTCTGGAGAAGGAACCATCAGGAGGCTGTGGCGGGCGTCCAGCAAGCAGTGATGGCAGCTTGGACCAGGCTGTTGGCAGTGGGCATGGAGAGAAGGGCCCCTTAAGAGGGAGTCAGGAGGCAGCTTCTTCAGGATCCGGTGAAGAGCTGCCTGTGGTGGAAGGGAATGGGAGCCGGCTGGATGTGCGCCTGGCTTTTGGTTTTGAGCAACCAGACGTACGTGCTTAACGAGATGGAGCCACGTGGGGGCAGGATCGAGGGAGGGCAGCGGGTCAGTTGGATGGACACATGGGGTTGAGGAGCCTGTGGGATGTTGGCTCTGCATCCGGAATGAGGAGAGAGGCTTAGACTGGAGGGGTAGAAGTAGAGGATACCAACATGTGAATGGTGCTGGAAGTGAGTGAGGGTGGTAGGTGAGGCTCCCACCCTGGTGGAGTCCAAGGACAAGCAGCCAGGGGGTGAGGGCAGAGCCGGACCACATGTGATCAGGGTAGGTGGGCGTCCACATGGTTAGACTCTGAGAGAGGTCACACTTCATGACATTACAGAGTATCCATTGGTGTCTCAGGCAGTATAGCCAAACCCTGTCACCAAAGAGGGGGTCCAGGTGACAGGTGAGGGGAAAAATGAGAAAGACAGGTCCACAGCTGCAACAAGATGTGAGATTAGGAGGGGCTTTTATTTATGTATTTGTCTTTTTTTTTTTTTTTTGGGACACAGTCTCGCCCTGTCACCCAAGCTGGAGTACAGTGGCACGATCTCGGCTCACTGCAACCTCCACCTCCCAGGTTCAAACAATTCCCTGCCTCAGCCTCCCGAGTAGCTGGGATTACAGGCACTGCCACCATGCCTAGCTAATTTTTGTATTTTTAGTAGAGACAGGGTTTCACCATCTTGGCCAGGCTGGTCTCGAACCCCTGACCTTGTGATCCTCCCGCCTCAGCCTCCCAGAGTGCTGGGATTACAGGCGTGAGCCAGCACGCCCAGCCTATCCTTGTTTTAAATGGGAGAGACAGGGGCTTGTGTAAATGCAGTAGGGAAGGCACCAGGAGAGATGCTGAGGACATTGAGAGGATGGTGCTGGGGGAGGAAAGTCCATGAAGAAGAGGGGGAACCAGAGCACAGATGAGGGGATCAGCCTTGGCATGGGGAGACCCCTCCTCACTTCAGTAGGTGGAAGAGGAGTGGGGTGGGAGTAAGATGCTGCTGGGTATGGGGTTCAGGGGTGGGAAAATTGAAGAAGTTGTTCCAGTGGCTCCTGTGTTCTTGTGACTGAGCAGAGAGGAGTGGAAGGGACAGAAGGTCAGGGGTCTGAGGACACAGAGAAGGGATGAGACATCCAGAGGGGAGAATGAGAGGTGAGGGAGGCTGAGCAACACATAGTCTGGGGGTATGGCCAGGGCCTGTTCACCAGGAGGTGCTATGGGCCAGTACAGGGAGGGCCATAGGTCCTTTCTGCTGGAGTTTTGTCAGGTTGGGAATAAGGAGGCTTCAGAGATGGGCAGCAGCCTGGAGGAGCCGAGGACCACGGGATCCGTGCTGGGTTGGTGTGAAGGTGGGAGCTAAGCTGACGGGGAGGAGCAGACCCAAGAGGGCCCAGAAGGTGTCTGCCCTGACTGAGCTCACAAGAAGGCAGGGGCTGTGGCCAGAGAGAGTTGCTTCTGAATCTGTGATTTCAGGATGGACCTGCTTTAGTCAGGGCCCCATGTGAGGTGGGGGAGAGGTAAGGGCTCCTGGAGAGAGAAGTTGGGGAAGTGAAAACAAGAGGCTAGGGGTGTTGTGGCTTCGAGGACTTAGAGCAGGAGGAGGGGGTGACCCACCTTAGGCCCCAGTGTCCCTGGGAGACGAGAACTGGGGTGGCTTCCTTCCAGAGTCCCAGAGTTTGAGGAGGAGACTCTGTGGGAGTGGGACTCCTGTCTTGGGGGACACTATTCAAGACACACCAGGATGGAAGCCAGCAGGACCTCATCTCATACCCACAGGGCCCAGCCTTGTCATGGATGCTAGGATGCTCCCACCCCCACCTCGCACCCCGGGAAAGCTGCAGTCTGGGAACTCCAAATGGAGCCGTGGGCTCTGGGTTGCCTAGGAGCCCTGAAGAGGGAAGGGCGGGTATTTCTCAGTGGTCTCTGGCATCCCTGTCCCAGCCCAGTGCTCTGTTAAGCCATTGTATCTGTCTGTGCAATCAGCCTGAGCCCAGGGTCCTAGGCCAGGGCCAGAGTCACCCATGTGCTTGTATGTACTCTGTGCTTCTAGTAGCTGTCATAACTCCACGTGCCTGCACAGAGAAGGGACCTAGGGCAAAGAAAACGCATGACACAGAATTAAAGACCCTCCCAATTGGAAGGATTTTCAGGGTCATCCAGTTCACCTTGCTCCTGGCTTTGCTGGGGAAATGGTGGCCCAGAAAAGCCATGGTACCAGCCCAAGGTTGCAAAAGCCAGGTGCTCATAGGAGAGGAAACACCAGAGGGCCACACTCCAAGTCCAAGCCCCTAGGAAATGCTACATCTGATTGTTTTCTGTGGCTGGGTTTCTCTCCTTAGTCAACCACATTTCCTGTCTTGGGACAGCTAAGAGAAGAGGGAGCTGGGGGCCGTACTGCGGTGGGAAGAGTCTAGAAGTGCTACAGGTCTTTGGCAGATGTTCCTCTGGGGCACATAATGGGGAGATGGCCACCATTCAGCCACCAGGCCTCCAGCTCTGGCTGCAAAGCAGTGGTGGAAAGTGAGCCATCCTGGTCTCACAGATGCTGCAGGTCAAAGCCCAGGCTCCCCTCTCCCGCCATGCCTACCTCGAATAGACATGGGAGTTAGTTCTTCTGCGTATTTAACCTAAGTCCCTCTTACTGCAATCCAAGCCCCTCTCTCTAGATTGGGAAGAGGATAGTCATTGCATGTTAAGTCTTTGTCCTCTTAGAAGCATGATTTTCAGAGCTTCCTCCTCAGCTACATGGATCCCAACAAGATGCAGGCTGGCCTGGGCATTATGGGGTGTTTTGAGGCCTGTCTGGGACCCATGGCACCAAAACCTTCAGCCAACTTGCTGAGAGGACCTTGTTCCCCTGTTCACTCTTCCAATTAATTCTCCCTAACAAGGTGCTGCCTCTGCCATACGGGGATCATGTCTCATGTCCCAGAAGCCAGTGGGATTTGCCACAATAAGTCTGGGCTTGCTTGGGCTGACCCAACCTTGCCAAAAGCCACCAAGGTTGTCAACAGAAGTAATCACTGGAACACCAATTAATTAATCAGGGGACTCGGAGATGGAATTTAGGAAGTAGTTCCTAAAATGGGTGGCCTGCAGTGATTGTTATGGGGTTTCCAACTCACTAACCCCAGAGATTGAGGCAAGGACTTCAATCCTTCCCACAATTCCTGAGGGAGAGTTTTGTCTGCTCTTTTCAAATTAGTAGTTTTGCCTGTTAAAATGGTACTGAGGGTCAAATTGCAAATAATAATAATGGTTACTATTTGCCAAGTATCTATTGGACCAGGCAGCGTGCTAGGAGCTTGGCATGCCTTACTGTATTAAGTCTTCCTAATGCCCTTTAAGTCCAAAACATTGAACATCAAGTGGTGATTCCTAAATAGTCAGATGGCTCTGGGGAGAGATTTTGGCTGGAGATATGGAACCTTCAGTGCATAGGGGAAAATTGAAGCTGAGAAAGGGGATGTGGTCAACGACAGGAGAAAGAAAAACCATTAAGAAGGGAAAGAAGCAGCCAAGGGCACAGGGAGAACCCAGATGGAGTAGCTTCATGGAAGCTTCAAAGAGGAGGGGCTGTCTGCAGAGTAGGTGAGTGCAGCGAGGACTAGAAGGAGCGGAGGAGACTTGGGTAGCCATAGCTAGACAGGACAGTCTAGGAGGCAACATGGTAGTCAGTTTCTTCTTTGTTCAGAATATTGAGCTCAGGGATGGGGAACAGTGGGAGAATACAGCAAAGAAACTGTGAGATGGAGATTCGGGGGGGGCTTAGAGAGAGGGCAGTGATGGGGAAGGAATGCCCAGAGCCCAAGGTGGGAAGGCATGGCCTCTTTGGGGTCCCCGGGTCCAGTGAGTAGAGGGGCCTAGCTGGCTATGGTGGGGAAATGGGGGCCCAGATCCTGACAGTTCTCCAAGGTAGGTACCAATATTCCTTGTTTACCAATGAGGAAACTGAGGCACATTAAGATAAGACCTTGTCCAAGAGCCAAAGTTGCTGACGATGGAGCAGGCTTTGTACCCAGGCAGAAGGAGCCTGACTCTCCCCAGCCCACCCATACCTTACTATAGAAAGAAGAGGCCCACTTCTGGGCCCCAGACTGCTTGCTGCTAATTTATCAGCAGGAACATCCTAGTGCCCTCACCCAGCCCTCCTCCCTTCCGCAGGAAATCTGTGTGTTTCCACAGGGACCTTTTGGAGTAAGTGTTTATGTCATTTCCAACCCAGAGTTGAGGAAGGGGCAGGGCAGTGGAGGGGCTGGAGGGAGGATAAAGGGCCAACAGGTGGGCAGGGAACCTCCTTGTGGTTGTGAGAACTGGGGAGCAGAGCCTGGGCTCCCTTCTGTACCCCAGTGCTCTTGCCCATGCAGGGAGTACAGGGTCTGCCCTGGTGGATGAGGTGGATCTGGAAACCTACCCCACCAGCCTGTCCCCAAACTTGGATGGGCCCATCATACCCAGAATCTGCTCCCTGCCCCATGGAGCCTGGGCACTTTCCTCTTTTTCTTGTTACAAGAATAGCCACTTAGGAGCCCTTTGGTCTCAGCGAGCCTCCCTGCTGGTGGTAGAGACAAAACTCAATAAACAAGAACTGTCAGGTGACAGCACAGGTCATGATGGAACTAAAGCAGAGGCTGCACTGCAGCTTGCCAGGGCCTCTGTAGGTGGGGCTGGTGGTGGATACCTCCCTTGTGGTAGGGCCAGATTGTGGTGGCCTTTCTGTCCTTGTCCCCATTGGCAGTTAGAGCTCTGGATTCCAGGCAAATAGGGTCCTCTCTCTCCTCCCCACCACAACACAGACATACATTGGGGCCCAAGTCCCTCGAGGGAGATGTGCAGGGTCCAGTGTCCGGGAATATGGGCTTGGCTACCACAAGAGGCTGGAGCGGGTGGTGGCAAATGTCCCTCTAAGTCTGACAGCCGGTATTCCCTACCTGGGAGTGCTTCCAATCCCATTTAATGATCCTCATGTCTCTCTGGAGCAGACAGCAGTACCTTGGCCAAGGCCCCTCCTCATGTCCCTGCCTCTGTTTCTGCCTCGATCTTTCTTTGTGCCTCTTTCTCCCTTCCTTGATTCCTCTGGGGCTCTCCCCCACCCCAGTCCCCTCTCTTTTCCCCACTCTTCCCCCGGGAGCTCGGGGGCTGGGGAACGGGGCTGCACGTACAAGCCGGAGCCATTGTTCAACAATCTGTTTTTGTCTTCATCTTGTTGGCAGGCGGCAGGAGAGGAGCAAAAGGTTAATGAGGCACTGTGCAGCGGGATTACTGCGTGAACGGGCGGGCGGCGGGCGGGCGAGCCAGCCGTGGTGACAGGGAACTAATTAGGAGCAGTTTAACAGGAGGAAAAAGTGAAATCTCCTCTTCACCAACTGTCAATAATTAGCTGATTTGGTGAGGCTGAAATGTGTCCACAGAAGGTGGGGCTTGTCTGTGGATGAGGGAGGCGTGGGGAGTGGGGGGCAGCCAGGGGCTTGACCCCGTCCTTAGGTGATGTTGGGGTGGAGGGGCCATCCTGTGGCCCCAAGGCCTGCCCGCTGCTCCTCTGGCTGGCATTCCTCTGCCTCAACTCTCCTTATGACTTTGAGTCTTAACCTCAAAGACCTCAGTTTCCCCAGCTGGAAGATGAGGTGTTGGAACTCAGTTTCTTCCTGTAAGAACTGAGTTTCTCCCAGTAAGATTAGGGAATTGAAAACTCGAGACAGGGCCCTGGAGCTAGACAGTGGGCTGAGTGAGTCCACTTAAGTCATGCGCTGCCCCTCAGGTACCTGGCCTGCAGCAAGGGTGTGCCCTCTGGGAGCCACCCTCCAGGGCTGGACCGGGCAAGTGGGCAGGGCCTTGGCCTTCCTGGGAACTCATCTAATGGCCCCTAGACCCTCACTGGCTCCTTGGTCCTCCCTGCAGCTGTGGGGGCTGAGGTGTGGGATGAGAGAGCTTGGGCAATGTGCCCCCTGGCTGGGGCTCCAGGCAGGGGAGAGGGCCCTGGGCCGCCCTTGTAGGGGCTGGAGGCCATGAGCGTGTCTCTTCCCTGCCTCAGCTGTTGCAGGGGCCCCTGGGGGCAGGAGTGAGGCTCACTGGCCAGGAGGCTTGTTTCCTGTGGGCCTGTTCCCTCCTGGTTGTCTTGTTGGTTTGTTGGCCTCTGGCCTCTGCCTTCCTTGAGGCCTCAGCGGAGAACCAGTCTCCCCCTGCACCTCCGCCACCTGCTTCTGCCCCTTCTAGCTTTTGCAAAGTGCCTTGACTAGAAGAAAAGTCATCCTAAGAGATCCCCAGGGCCAGGGCTTCCTGCTCTGGGCCTCCCATGTCAGCCCTGGGAACTCCCCAGGCCCCTCCCTCTGCGCTGAGCCCCTCGTCACGTCAGCTCTAGAGGGTTCTAGGGATTAGAAGCCATGTTCTGAGGAAGGCTAAAGCCTTCCCTGTGTTCTCAGCACCATTTATGAGCCATGTCCCATCCTGGCCACAGAGAGTGGCTCTTAGGGGCCACACCCATGTGGTAGATGAGGCAGGAGGGCCAAGCCCAGCCACCCCTTACTTCTTCCTGCCTCCCCACTTACAGCTGTCAGAGTTAAGAAACAGAGGCACACCCTCCCTTATAGGCAAAAATGTGGGTACCCAAACCTCCACTATCTCTACCCTCTTACCAGCCCTGATGAAAATGGCAGTCCTGATGAACCAGCCTGGCTAGACAGCTGTGAGCCACCAGAAGCAAAGGTCCCCCCTTCTTATCTCCCTTTCTCTGAGAACGTATTTGGACCCCCAACCAAAAATGGGGAAGAGTAACCAGAAGTAAAGGTTCCCCCCAGCTTATCTCCCTTTCTCTGAGAAAATATTTGGACCCGCAACCAAGAATAGGGAAGAGTTGGGAATAAGCTGGAATGTGAGTCCACATTCAAACTGTTCTAGAAATGGCGCCTCCTCCAGGAAGTCCTCCCTAATCTTCCCCACCAGGATCTGTCTCGCCTCACCTGTGTAGGCACTGGTGATGTGTTTTCTGGCTTGCATCTTCCCCCTTGAGACAATAGACCTTTCTCCCTTCCTTGACACATAAGGTGTTCCTGTAGCTAAAAGCTGGTATTCTTTATCAATACCAAGTACAGAGCGTGGCTCATTTGGGTTCACCGTGACTTTGTTGGCTCCTGCTTCTCCCACTCTTCCAGGGTTTATGCGAGGCCAGAGACAATGTCTAGGGGACATTGTGTCCCTCCCGAGTCCAAAGCAGCGTTCAGCGTCTCCCAGAGCAGGGGCCTCCTCCCCTCCAGTCTTAAATCCATCTCCTACTTTGCTTGGAGATGTTTGTTTGGGGTTTTTCTCGTTTACTGGTTTAATCAGTCCCTACTGAACTCTAAAGTGGGCTATTTTTGCCATCAGAAATCTGCTGCCTCCCCGCCCGCTGCTTTCTTGGAGTTTGCCCACAGGACCCCCCAGGAGGGACGGATGGGAATGGCAAAGCCGCTCGGAGCCCAGGAACGCCAACGCCACCTGTCATGTTGCCTGTTCCCCACACCCCCACCCCAAACCTGCGTGCACACACAGGCTCGCACACATAAGCGTGCACGCAGGAACATGCACACATGCCCGGATGGCAGGCCTCGGCCGGGCTGCCTGACAGCCTTTCCCCGCTTGTTCTCCTTTCCAGGACCTTCTAGGACACCTACCTGAATCCAGGACGGTGGGGAGAAGGGTTGGTCGTGCAGAGCTTCCGTTAAAGGCATTAATATGTACAAAGTGGAACATGCCTGGCTCGCAGCAAGGCTCAGCCCTGCAAGCTGAGTGAGCGGGACTGGGGCTGAGTGTGGGGACCTAGGGTCCTGCCCTCTTTACACAGCGTCACACAGGTTTCTAAGCCTCCAAAGGGCCAGCCTGTCCATTTTGTGATACCATCCTCATCCTGTGCCCAGGATATCTTAGAAAATCTTCTCAGCATACATGTGGGGAAACTGAGGCCTCAAAGCTGAGAAGATAGAGGACAGAGAATGATTCTGAGATTGGTCCACCAGAGGGCACCCAGGAATGGTGCAAAGCTCCAAAATGGTAGGGGGCGGGGTGTGGTCTGAGCATTTGCTGGGTACACACAGCACAGGGGAGACGGAAAAGTGTAAGACAGGATTCTCGTCCGTGAGGCACTTCAGTGTCATTTAACTCAGCTGTTACTGAGGACCTACTGTGTACAAGGCACAGGGATACTAAGCTGCCTGGAGCGGCTCAGGGTGGGGTGGGGCGGGGGATGGGGGACTACTGTAGTGACACCTCTGTGGAGTGCAAATGAGCCTGTGCCTGTGGATGGGATGGAGATAAAAGCATGTGCTGGGGACACCAGAGGCAGCAGCAGTGGATTTGGTCTAAGAAGATCAGGGGAGGCTTCCTGGAGGAGGCAGCCTTAGAGGGTCAGGATATAGCCTGGACTCAGGCCTCAAAGCTAGACTTAGAATGTACAGGAAATGGACAGCAGTTGATGGGTGAAGAAACTGGAGAAGGTCCCAGAAGGCCTGGAGTGTCCAGCTGAGGGGTCTTTCACTAAGAAGGTAGTGGGAGCCTAGAGCCAGCACCAGAGGCCTGACTCAGGGGTCCAGGGGTCTAGGCTCAGGCCTCAGCGGCTTCCCAGCCCCAGCCTAATGCCTCTGGCCCCCAAGGACACTCAGGATAACTTTCCTAAAGGTGGGACCTGGTTGTGTGTGTGTCTGAGCAGGACACGAGGCCTGCCCAGCCCTGGTGAGAAAGGGTGGGATGTTGTGCCCAGTGGACAAGGCAGTCCCAGGCCTGGCAGAAGCCTCAGGCACACAGGGTCAGGCAGGTGCCCACCTGGGTTTTGGGCCCTGTGTCAATGTCGCCACCTCCTCCTGACCCTCAGAAGCCCAGACCTCTGGCCAGGAGCAGGTGGTGGCTTTGAGCTATGTCACAGGGTCTCACTAGACACCCCACCCCCCTAGCCTTTGAAAAGGAGGCAGAAAAGCCACCAGAAGAAAGACCAGGAGGAGGAAGTTCTTTGTAGTAGGTAAAAGCCCCTGAGAATGGGGCACAGGCGGAGGATCCAGTTTCCTGTTTATGTCTCTGCACCTTAGCTCCAGGTTCAAATATGTAAACTATCCGCTGGCCTGGCTGCAGGTGTGTGTGCTCCCAGGCTGTAGAGGCAGATGTGGCCCCAAATGCATTCCTGACTCTAGCCCCCCACCCACAGTAAGCCATGAGACAAATAGCTCAAGGTTAACCCTTTCCATGCCACAAGGGAAGGTGATTGGCTGTTGTAGCTGGGCCTTGGGGTGCCCGGAGAGGCTGGAGAGACACTGGACTGGATGCTCCATGTCTGGTGACATCTCCTGGAGGAGCAGCAGGGTCTGAGCAGGGTTGGAAGAGTGGGGTGGCACTCCAATACTGAGACGGGCACATCCGGAGGGGGCTGGCTGGGAGCTGGTTTGCAGGCCCTGCCTGGAAGTCAGGGACTGCTAGCAGGGCGACACTGCTTCCTTCATGGCGGGGTGGGGTGATCCTGGCAGCCCACTTCTGTGGCGGTGTGGGGAGGGACCATCAGCCAGTGCTCCATGGTCCCTGCAGCCCCTGCCCTTCAGGGCTTTGGCTTTCCATCCCAACACCCCCTCCCTTGGGAGCCCCTGCTGACTGGCTCTCAGGTTCCCCGGGGCGGAGCCTACCAGATGGAAGAGACTGGACCCACAGATTCCAGCCCCGAGCTGGCCTCCTGGGGCTGGGCCACCCCTTCTCCCTGTGGCTACTCCTTGTCCTCTCTCCTCATCTTCTTATCCCCAGAGAAGGCCCCTCAGAGCCAGTTTGTGGTCACAGCCAAGTCCCTGCACCTCAACCCAATACCCTGGGGCTCTGGCCTTTTCCAGGGTGGGGCTGAGCTGGGCAGCAGGAGGGGATGCTCTGTTGTCCTTGCCCAGACCTTCGTCACCTTCACTTACCCACGGGTCCAGAGGCCACTGCCAGGCAAGGGCCTGGATATGGTTTCCTTGGAGAAAACTTGGCCGCACGCCTAACCTCAGAGAGGTGGTCTTCAAGGGAGACACTTAATTCTTGATGGACAGGGGAGGAAATATCATGTATAGGCCAGCAGGCAACTCAGGGGTTCCTGCCCCAGCCTCCCCCAGCCTCCCCCAGCCAAGCCCAGTGGGGACCCCAGTGATCCCAATACCCATGAAACCTAGAGATGGTGGCCATCAACCTAGCACCTGGCCATGGCCAGAGATCTTGGAGGGGTCCTAACAAATGACCATTTGAATTGGCCTGGGGTAGAGTGAGCGGCTGTGAACCAGGATCAGCACTGGGTGGGGAATCGGGCAATGTGGATCTCAGGCAGTCACCGAAATCCAGTTGCCAAGACCAAAGCCTCTGAGCCCTTATTGGGACCACTCAGAAAACTCTGTTTGCCTGATGCTCACGGCTGCTCAGTGTTTGTGGCACCCTCTGTCACTGTGTCTACTCCTCGGGCTGGTCCCCCAAGGCCACCATCACGGGCGTGCCTGTTCCCCAGGCCTTGGCATCCACCCCTCCGTCTGCTTCCCTGGGCCAGCTCCTCCACTCTGGAGGCTCTGGCTGTGCTCACATATCCCAGGCGCTCTCTCCTGCCCAGAGCTTCAGAGCCTGGACCCATCTACCTCCCAGGCCTCTCCACCTGGGGAACCCACTGGCACCCCAGACTCAATGTGGCCACCCTGAGCCTACCACCCCCCACCCTGGTCCATTCCCTCCCTCTGAGAATGGCGTCACCAGCCACCCCAGCTCCCGAGCTAGAATTAGGAGTCATCCAACGCACAGTCATCCTCAACACCTCCCTCTCACCCCCACGTGGAATTGGTCATCAACTCCTGTGGATTTCATCTTCAGAAAGGCTCCTCCTGTCTGCCCCCACTGGCAGCATTATAGGGCAGGACCGGGCACTTCTCTGATTCCCACAGATGCTCCCCAGGAGGCCTCCCCACCCCTTCCTTACCCCTCCAGTCCATCCTCCACACCCACCATCCTAAAAAAGACCTTTCTAAGACAGTCTGAGGCCAGGCACAGTGGCTCACCCCTGTAATCCCAACACTGGAAGGCTGAGGTGGGAGGATCACTTGAGGCCAAGAATTCAGTATCAGCCTGGGGCAGCATAGCGAGACCATGTCTCTATGAAACATTTTTAAATAATTTAAAAATTAGCCAGGCATAGTGGCACATGCCTGTAGTCCTAGCTACTCAGGAAGCTGGGGCAAGAGGATGGCTTCAGCCTAGGAGTTCAAACCTGCAGTGAGCTGCAGTCACACTACCCCAGCTTGGGTGACAGTGAGATCCTAGCTCAAGAAAAAAAAAAAAACAGAGTCTGGGTATGGCCCACTCCTGCTCAGAGTCCTTCTGTGGCTCCCTATTGCCCTCAGATAAAATGCTGACACTTTCATGTAGACTACAAGATTCTGCCTGTCCCAGCCACACCTCCATTTCCTGCCGTATTTCCACGTCCAACATTGCCCTGCCTCCCAGAAATGGGCTGTGCTAGCCAGCTAATACTTTTCTCTTCACCTAGCAAACTTGGTCTGCCCTTTCTGATCAAAATCCTCCATTCTCTTCCTGGCCCACCTCCTCTGAGAAGTCTTCCTTCCTTGTTCCTTCATCAATACATTGGAATGCCCAGCCCCTCCCCAGTTGCCATGGCACTCTGCTTGTCTCTCTGGACTCCATCTGCCTTCACCAGCCAACTGCTCTCTAGACTGTAAGCTTCTCGAGGGCATGAGCTCTCTGTGTGCCCAGCCTGGGTATCTGGAGTTGGCGACTATCAACATCTGCTGACATGAGACTGAATTAACTTGAAATGAGAGAGGAAGCTTAGGATGCCAGGTCTGTCCCTGGGCCCCCACTCCCGATCCCTCGGCCACCTCCCCCAGGAGCCTTCCCACTGCCTGTGTCTCCCCCTGCTCCTACCTGCTGCCCTCAGTGTGGTGGGGAGCCCAGGGGAGACAGGGTGCCGGGAGGAGGTGGCCTTGGTCTTCCCCGGGCCAACGTGCTCAAGGGAGTGGCACAGTGGGCCGTGGCCCTGGGCCGTGGTCCTCCCCGGTGGTGCTGAGCAGCCTCTCCGATTTTAATGTGGGCCTCAGTGCTTCAGTGAAAGCCGGCATGGGAAGTTGCTAATAATGGCACTAAAATAAAATATGCTACATCTGTTATGGGTAGCAGAACAAAATTAGCTGCTCACACCTCTGACATCCAAGATGTCTTAACTTAAAATACTCCTTGGCTTACTTTACATCATTTACTGATTATATTTAAAAGAAATACAATTTTGCAATTACTGTTCTTTCCAGCGTGATATCTATGCATCATTTTCCTTTTATGTTTATATATTTCTCCTTCATTAGTGCAGTCTGAAGGGTGATTAGGATTCTTCAAACATTTTACAGAGGTTAAACGTTGATTAAGATTTAATTATTACTGTAAATAGCTTGGAATGACATATGGTGCAAAAGCCTGACATATGTGCATTTGAATAAATGAAGTGCTATTTCCCAGGATGCCTCAGTAGCTGTTTAACAGCTTTCCCGAAGGGTTATGTTACACCTCATGGTAAGATTGCTGGGATGTTATATTTTGTTGGTTTTTGCAGCTGAAAGCTAAGAACAGTTTTCCAGTTTTTTAAAAACATTGAATATTTTAAATACCTAAATTGTTTTGCACAAATTTTTGCTAATTTGTCTAACTAGGTTAAACATTTTCAAAAGCATTTAGATTTTTAAGCGTGGGCGCTGTGCATTGTGTCAGTGGCAGCGTGGGGACGAGGGGAGCCGGTGGGGTGGAGGGGACCGGGGGTGGCAGGGGTGGGGTGGGAGAAGGTGGTTTGAGGAGAGGGGATGGGGAAGAGGTCTGGGCCCTCAACCTAGCTCTCCTCTGTCTGGCCATCTCGGGTGACCAGACTTGAACAATGGGGTACCAGGGACTATAGAGGAAGGGTCCCCCTTCTCCCACTGTGCCCACCAGCTCTAGTCCTCACCATACTCCCTCTTTGCGTGGACTCTGCTGTGCACGGCCCAGGCATGACAGAGCTCTTCGAAGGCCAGGCTGGTCTGTGCTACCTTCTGCCCACTTCCCAGGGTTGCCACATCTTGACATATGGCGGGTACCTAGAACCAAGTTCAACCAACCTAGGTTTCAAGAGGCCTGGTGCCTCCTTGACTGTGTCCAGGGCAAATGTCCAGCGGAGACCTTCTCACTGCAGGAGTGTCTTCCTCACTGGCCCCCCTCAAGCTAGGGGCTCAGGCGTGAGATGAAGCCCGACCTCGGGGCTGATGTGGTGTCTCCAGGGGGACCCCGTCTTCCAGTGCCTACTGCCTCTTTTCCTTCTGCCCACATATTCCATACTGAGGGAGCATCTACTGTGTAGCAGCATTGTGCCAGGCTTTGAGGACGCAGGGGTGAGCCAGATCCACATGTCTGCTGCCTCAGGGAGCTTGTGATCTAACGTGGAGAGGCCAGGATGGGAGAAGTTCAGGGAACTATGGGGGCCACAGAGGTGGCCACACCCAGCCTGGGGGAGGAAAGGTGGCTAAAGCTGAGACACGCAAGATGATGAGCTAAAGATGGGAGAGCGGAGTAGGGGCAGGAATGGAAGTAGAAGGGGGCATCTCTGGACAACTCAGGCAAAGACCAGAGTGCGGACAAAGCCCCAGTTGTGTGAGGAACCAAAATCAGTCCATGCACCCTGTGTCTCCAGTCCAAGGAGCAGGGTGGTGCAGGAATCTGATTTGATCCCTGAGGATCAGGGTGCCACAGAGCCATTTCACAGTGAAGAGAGGCAGGGGCAGACTTGCAGTTTAGAAGGCGGGCACTGGCTGTGGTGGGGGATGGACTGGGCTGGGTGAGACCTTGTGGGGAGGGTGGGGGAGAGGACGCAAAGAGGCTCCAGAGTCTTTGGCCAGAGCACCACTCACTGGATGGCCACGTCATTCCCGAGATGGGGGGCTGGGTGGGGCCAGGGAAGAGGCGGGTTCAGTTCCATTTCAGGTGGGTTGAGTTCAGGGTCCTGTGAGATGTCCACAGCAAAGTCTGGCAGGCAGGCAGCTGTGAACCTGAGGCTCCAGGGAGAAACAAGGCTGGAGAACTCTGGTGTGGAGTGACCCGGGGCATGTGCAGAGAAAAGTGCCCAGCCAGGCCAAGTCCCCAGGACCCACAGGAGCATGCAGTGGGTGTCGTGAAATGGGAGGTGGCAGTGACCTTGGAGAGAAAGATTTTTCTGGAGTGTGGTGAGAACAGAAGCCAGATTTACTGTGGGTTGAAAAGTCAGTGGGAGGGAAGGAGGTGGACACAGCCATTGTAGACAGTTTTTTAAAGAAATGTGGCTGCTGGGGAGGAGAGACACCAGGTAATAGCTGGGCCTGCCTCAGGGTGAAGGGGAGGTGTCGTCAGGGAAGTTTCCTGTGTGTGGAACACTAACAGGCAAAGGTAGGAGAGAGGGAGGATGACCCAGGAGGGGGTCCTGGAGTGGGCACGGGAGGGGGAGCCAGGTGGGCTTCTTGTCCTGCGAGGGGAGGGATGGCAGCTGTGGGTCAGCAGGAGGGCAGGGGGGAAGCCGTGCATGGACACAGGAGGCAGTGGGTTTGATGACAGGAAGCTGAGGGGTTCCCCTCTGACACCTTCAGCTTTTTCTCTGAGTAAGAGGAAGTCTCACCTGCTCAGGATGAGTGGGAACAGGGTGGGTAAGGTGGCCGAGGAGAGGACAGCAGAGCAGGTGTCCGGTGGCTTCTGAGAGTGGGTGAGGGAGCTGACCTGGCTGTGAGGGCTGGGTTGGGGTGGTTGTCAGCCATGAGTGAGGGTCCAGCCAAAGTCAAAAACAGGGAATTTTGAAGGTCTCCATTACATGGTCAGGTTCAAGTGTAGGAGCAGGGTGCATGGTGGGATTCTCCAAAGCAGGGCTTCTGCCAGCAGAGTGGGAGGAACCCTTGGGCTAGGGAGTAGCTGAAGGGATGGCCCCCCGAGTCCATGCTGCAGGGGTGGGGAAGATGTAAAGACTGAATGGTGGGAGTGTGGGCCCTGAGGTCTAGTGGGCTGGAGACAAAAGCAGGAGTGAGTGGGATGCGGGAAGGACAGGGGCTAAAGAACCTAGGAGGGTGGGGTTTGGATGGAAGGAGTTGAGGTGGAGCAGCCCTGGTGGTCATCAGGTCCAGGGAATGTCCTTGGGTGGGGCTGTGGTGGGTCTGCAGTTTGGCGGACATGGTTCTTGGAGGTGAGGGAGATGCAGAATTCAGAGGCCAGCGTGTAGGATGTCCACCCACGTGGACATGCCATCAAAAGAAAGAGGCCAGGTCTGGGCTGGAAGGGGTGCTGTGAGCCCCATGGCGGAAGGGCGGTGGAGAAAGAAGATGTGTCACTAGGTAGGGCATGTGAGCCCTGGCCGGGGCGGACATGGGGGGTGCAGAGGGATAGAGCTCTGGGCCCCAGGGTGGTCCTCACTGCAGCTCCCAGCCCCGCTATTTGTGCCTTCCCACTCGCCCACTTACCCTCTCTGTTCTCTTTCTGCAGATTGAAACGTCCCAATTAGAGCCGGAGATAGCCCGGGCCACAAGCAGCCGGACAGTGGTATACAACAAGGGGCTGTGAGTGTGGTCAGCAGCCTGGGGACGGAGCACTGTGCAGGTGGGGAGCTGAGGGGCAGGGCCAAAGACTCAGGCTGCACATGCGGGGAGCTGCATGCCAACCCCAGCAGTCCCGGGCCCGGGAGAGTGCTCAACCTGCGGTGGAGGGAGGCTGATCCATTCACATTTTAACATAGGGGAGAGGAGTTCTAACACATTTCCTACAAAGCATAATCAAGTGCATTTCTGGGCCTTACGTGGGGTTGTCAAAACTCCACTCAGCACAATTATGTGAGAAGATGAAAAATCGTAGCGTGCCCATGGGGTAGAATTAGAATCCTTTTATACTTTTGATTTCTTTTTTATTTTTATTTTTTATCAGAATCAAATCTGAGCCTTAGTTTCAGCTGACCAGAAATGGCAGGAGGACAGGTGGGGG